AACTGCAGGGAAAAGTCAATAGAAAATGCCTACAGATCGATTAGAATGGTATTTAATGTGGTAAAAAGGCTTCGTAGTTATTTTCTTTTGTTAGTAGTTACGGGCCTTCTTATTATTCATTTGCATGAGTAGAAGGGGTTATTGGAGGGCATGGTTTCTAGCTACATGTATAACAAAAAAGAAAAGAAATAGAGTATATATATATATATATATATACCAGTAGGTGAACTACTCAAATCCTGAGTGCATGGGTGTTTAATACAAGCCTGTTTCGTACGTCACCGAAAAGGTGACCCACTCTTCAGTTAACCTCCATTATAACACTGACGCGTCAGGGTCTACATCAAGAAAAGTGATCGCGTGATAAAAACGGTTACATATAACGTTTGAAATTTAAATTTTTAAGAAATTTTAGAATGAAAAGCGCGCGCTTGCTCTCAATCACCTACAACTCTTATACGAAACCTAAGTCGCACGAAAGCTTGCGCTACAATCTCTGGCTTTCACATGTTCGATTGTACCTTAGAATGAACTTGCGTCGATGTCTGCATGTAGAGACAAGTTCGTTGCGCTTGTTCAGTGTTGCCATGTGAGGCCTACAGATTAAAAAGAACTTCTCTGTTGAACATAGATTGCAACGCTTTGTAACGTTGGTGTAAGATTTTGCTTTGGCGAGTATTTTCCACGTGATATTGAATTCCTTATTTGCCTCCTTTAGCTGCCACAGGTGCTTGCTCAGCTCAGTCTCATTCCTTCTCTTTTCATGTCTAAATGGCATCAGGTGGTTTCTGTATCTTGCCTTGAACTGAGTAGCTGTGAGACCGATGTATGTCTCTTTTCCGTCTCCGGATTGTGACTGTGGCTTGGTACACGACTTCGCTCACCAGGCATTCTCCGTTTAGCGGGCAGTCTTCTTTTTTCCTACAGCTACACGTGTTCTCTTCGTTTTTCTGTGGCTGCGCTGTTTCTGCCATCTTCAGGATAGCTTTGTTGTGGCCATCTATTATTTGCTTTACGTTGGGCATGCAGCTGTAGCTGAGCTTTATGGTGTTCCTGTTGAAAATTTTCCTCGGTTTGTGGCCCGCTGGGAACGACCTTTCAATGAGGCTGATGAACGCACGTCCGATGTTGGTTTTGACGCTTTTGTTATATGGTGGATTAAACGATATAACATTTCTTTGTCGTTTGCGTTTCTGTGATGGTGGTTGCTGTGGTGGTGGCTTGAATTCTAGTTTAAAAGCATAGCCACTCTTTCGTAATGCTTCCTGATACGGAGCCGATGCTTCATTAAAACCTCGTGGTCGGAAGAAACGCTGAATAGCCGCCGGTTAATTGCTGCGGGTATGTTTCTGAGGATGTTTGGTGGGTGGTTCGATTGACTGTGAACGTAAAGCGGGGTGGTGGATTGCTTGGAGTATGGTTTGAATTTTCCGGTGTTTAAATCCAGTGTTACATCTAGGAAGTTAACAACTTTCTTGTTTGCATCAACTGTGATTTTCAGGTTGTTGTTCGCAAATATCTGGCAAATTTGTTTTTTTGCTTTCTCTATCCGCCTTGGTGTTTGATTGAGTACGGCAAGCCCGTCGTCTCTGTAAAGGCCGATTTCGATTCCAGGGATCTGCTTTAGCTGCGACAGGAGATAACAGCTCACCAGTTCACAAGTCTCCGCTCCGTCGTAGCTTCCCATGGTTACGTCAAAATTTGATGTTGAATTTCTCTTTCCCCATGGTTGGCCTTTGCTGAATAGCAGGGAGTGCTTGGAATTGATGACTGCTTGTCCTTCGTTGGCTGAGATGTTCACATGTTCAGAGGCGAAGTCAAGGGAGCGTTTTAGGAGGGCTTCGGTAATTGAGGGGTAAAATTCTACGACGTCAAAGCATATAAATGCCGAGCCGCCTTTATTAGCCAGCTGCTTGAACCATTGAAGCACAGAGGATGTGTTCTTCCACTGGTTGACTTTTGTGATGTCGACGAGGATATGTATATGTATATCATTGTTGAAAACCAGGACATAAGGAAAAGGCGACTAGACGATCTCAAACAGATCCTGCTGAGGAAACAGTATCCAGCTGAGATCATTGATTACAGTGTAAACAAAGCCCTCACCCTGACAACGGAAGAGTTAAGAAGGGTGAGAGAGCAAGCTACCGAAAATAACCTCCTTTGTCTGGTAACCACTTACAACCTCAACAATCCGCAAGTATTCCAGCTGGTCAGGAGGACACTCCCCATGTTAAACCAAAACTCCTCATTAAAATCCATTATGAACAAGACTAAAGTAATTCACAGTCAGCGACAGCCCAGAAACCTCAAACGAATATTAACTAACTCCTATCTCTCCAGGCTAAAGGACACTGATCCGGAAGTTAAAATTTGTGGAACAAAACGGTGCAGAACATGCCCCTATTTAAAACAGGGTAAAGAATTTACCTTCTCCGCCACGAATGAAACATTTCGGATAAAACACTCGATGAACTGCATCTCAACGAACTTGATTTGCGTAATAACATGTGCAGGATGTGGACATAATTATATAGGAGAAACGGGTGATGTCCTGAGAAATAGAGTGACAGTTCATAAACAACAAATCAGAGACCCGCACACACGTATGCTGGGAGTCAGTAAGCATATCGATGAATGTGTGGCGGGATTGACTCCTCAGTGTACTATCTTTCCGTTTTACAAGATTCTCAGCCCCTCCGAGGGCATGAGAAAAACAAAGAGAGGTTTTTTATTTTGAAATATAAACCCGTTCTTAATAATTTGAAATTACGCTAATTGCTCGCGCGTGCTACGAAATACAAGAGCCATTATAATTGTAATTACAATTACGTCTGTGACGTAATAAGTTCATAAAAACACTTTGCTATGCCTGAAGAGCCGCAACAGCGGTGAAACGCGTAGCGCAAAAGCAAAGAAGACTTTCGTTTTTCATTGTTTGTAGTATCTTCATTCGACACAGAAGTTTACTTTCTTATATATATATATATCTATATTAAACACCCATGTACTCAGGATTTGAGTAGTTCACCGACTGGTCTATATATATATATATAGTATATATATACTAAAAACAATAAAAAACGAAAGTCTTCTTTGCTTTTGCGCTACGCGTTTCACCGCTGTTGCGGCTCTTCCTGAAGAAGTCAACAAACAAAACTTACAAAATTCTGTATAAGAAACTGTCAGTTTTGTCGCGTTTTGGCCCTGCTGTTGTTCATTTACTGAGGAGTTGCTATTTATAAAGCGAAAATGTATATGATGTCGACGAAATTAAACAACAAAGGCCGCCATGTACGTGTCCCCAATAGTCGGGAAACAGTAAAATCCCTGATTGCCTGGTATTTTCCCGACATATAAAAACTAGGCTAAGGAAAAAGAGTAAGTGAAGAAGCAGCGCTTTGAATAGAGTTAATTAATAAGTTTCTTTTGGCTGAAGCAGCTGAGCTCACTCTCTGGGAAGGAGTTTCCTTTTTTCCTTATATTATCACTTTTTGGTTTTTACATAACAACATCAGATATATTGCTTCAAATCAATAACAGTATAAAATCCCCGATAGCCCGGAATTTTCCCGACATATGAAAACCAGGCTTTTACGAAAAACGAGTAAGTGAAGAAACAGTCAGTACTTTAAATAAAGTTGACGAAAGTTTTCTTTGGCTGAAGCAGTTGAGCTGACTCTCTGGGTAGGGGATTCCTTTTCTCCTTATCACTTTTTTGCTTTTGCATAATCTATATTGCTTCAAATCAATAACAGTATCAAAATGAGGTAAGTTTTTGACACTATGGCTTAATTTCGAACCTAATTTTTTGCTATTGACTCTCTCAAGGTTAAGTACATACACCCTTTTCTAAGCTTTCCCTGAAATGCTGAAGCAAGCTGGGAACCAGGAACTTAAAAACACCACCCACAATACCAGAAAGGGTTGAGCCGTGCACTTGAACGCGTTTTTTCCGACAATCTTTCTGGAACAGCTGTTTTACCGTGTTCATATGTCGTCAGGGTTTTAAAAAAAGTTGGTCGTAATTCCCGTTTCTGATTGACTGTAGTTGCCAAAGCCTCAAATCTTTTCTCTGTGTTGGTAGTAGCCAGCGAAGAGGCTCCCCTTTTAACCGGAGAGAAAACGAAAATCGGCAAACGAAAGCAAGCCTAGCGTAGGTTGGGGCAGAAAAAAGGCGGGGGAACCGTTCAACTTTGTTTATATCATGATCTGATTGAACAGATCGCTGACTGTTGACAAGTGAGTGATGAATGTTGACCAAAAATACCCTTTCGATTTATTAATGTTTAATGCAAATTTCCTTTGGTGGAATAGAATCTTCATTTTTAAACAAAGCTATTGTCTACATTTGAGGGATCTTAATAGTCGATATTCGATGGATGCATTTAATATTTACATATAATTAATTAATCCACAAAACTGCCTATACAGTCCATGTCCACATTGCTTGCAGTTCAGTAGGTTGGTCCCGGCTTACTGGATACGAAGTGTTTTTGCAGAAAAGCTCCTTCAAAGCTCTCCTGAACTCTGGCAATCTAATTGAGTAGATCACTGGATTCAATATAGAATTAAGGTGATAAAATGTTAATGCTATCTTCATAGGTGTGAACTTAATCCATAAGTAACGGTCTGAACTTATCGAGATACAAATAATTATTACCCAGGGAAGAAGAGTAAGTATAGAGGCAGCACTAACTATGAATAAAGTTACTGAAAGTAGTTTTCCTTCTGCTTACATAACTGACCCCAACTGCTGGACATGAGGTCTTCTAATAAATTTTGAAATCATTGTAACGTAAGATGTTGTTAGCACTGCAAGAGTAAGAACAACATAAATTAACCAGGGGTATCGATCTGCGAGGGCCGAATCATTCATGCGAATGATGTGTAGAACACATTCTACAGTCAAAGCTCCCAGCCAACTAGAAATGATAATCTTATAGTAAATGCGTTTCCCAACAAGGCAATGAAATTATTGAAATTATTGAAATTATTGAAATTATTGTAACGTAAGATGTTGTTAGCACTGCAAGAGTAAGAACAACATAAATTAACCAGGGGTATCGATCTGCGAGGGCCGAATCATTCATGCGAATGATGTGTAGAACACATTCTACAGTCAAAGCTCCCAGCCAACTAGAAATGATAATCTTATAGTAAATGCGTTTCCCAACAAGGCAATGCCTAAAGGGGTATAGTGTTGCGTGCAATCGCTCTAAAGAAATTAAAACTAGGTTACCCAGTGAAGCTATCCAATACATGCCAGAGATTGTAAAATGTAAAGCTCTGAGTCCATGTCCCGGCCTTTTCTCTGTTTTAAGAAACCAAAGGGCTTCAGGTCCTGAAACGGCTGCTATCAGTAGATCAGCTACAGTCAGGTTTATTATCAGGTACGTACTGCGCTTGCGTAGCAGGAGAGTTCTCGCAAAGATAATGAGAGTGAAGGCGTTGATTATAAACATCAGAAAAAACTCAGTAAGCCACACTGCAAACCAGATGTTTTTTGCCTCATTAGTCGACATAGTTGAGTTCAATTTGTTGCAGTTGTTGTTGTTGTTTTATTTTCTTGCTTTTTGAATAGGATCTGGAGTAATAAAAGAAAACGGAGCTAAGTACGAAACAAATTAAAATAAAACTAACAACAACAGCAACACAGTGACAACAGGAAAGCAAAGATTTCAAGGTATCTACCATCTCGAAGCGTAGGATATGTTGGTATTGATGATACTCTTCTGAGAAAGAGTCAAAGCTCCGATCAATCAACTAAAAATGATAATTTTACAGCAAATGCGTTTCCCAACTAAACAAAGCCGAAATGGATATACGTGTTGCTTGTAATCGCGCCCTAAAGAAATTTAAACTGGGTTATCCAGTGAAGCTATCCAAACGATGTCAGCGATTATTAAATATAAAGCTCTGAAGCCATGTTTCGATCTTTTTACTGTTTTAAGAAATTGTAAGTCCGAGGGTTAAAAAACAGAATAAGACGACAGCGTGAACAACAAAAAAGGAAAGATTTCAAACGCTCTGCCCTCTTGAAGCGTAGGGGATATGTTGGTATAAATGATATACTCTACTGTGAAAGTGATTCATGAGGACGCCCTTAGAGTATAGTTTTTAAATACAAACCCGCTCGGTGCACCTGTACCATAATAACTAAAGTTAAAGCGATGTGTTAAAGCTACTACTTACTTGACGTTCATAGACTGTACTTAATCGATGTTTTACTTTCTATACTGGGACTGAACATGATTCCTCAATCCGGACATGATGAAATATGAGCCCATAACTTACCTTTAAACGACTAAACCATACCCCAAGGAATATGTGTATACTGAGAGGGCTCTTACTTATTCTCTCCGTGAGAAAACTACCTCTTGCGAAGATAAATTTACAGCTGTATTTTATGGAAAAAAAGCCTGGAAAAAGAAAAAAAATGTTCATGAACTTACACACTGTTCTCTGTAAAGGTGGGGTAATCACTAGAAACAGTCTGTTGTAATACCTCTTTATCAAGAAAATTTCATACGGACCGTGTACTCAAAGCAGAAAAACTTTGGAACACCGCGTCGATAAAAATTGCCTTAATTAGCAGATCAGCCCCTGAGTTTCAGGTTGAAGTCTTCGAAGTTTGTGACATTACTGCCACTGCCGATTGACTAGACCTGTGGTATTAAATATGGTAATAAGCGTTCGTAGTTTCTTGTTTCTGTAGTTATATTTCTCGTGCTAAGTAGCAAATGTTCAATTATTTGTGCAATCATTTTCCGTATTATGCAAACTTAAACTTTCTGGAAGGTTTTGATGCTTAGCTCTTGAGGGGATTATTGTTAAAGATTTCTAACTATGACAAAGGGAAAATTTCTGTTGTCCGGAGTTCAAACACATATAAATGTATTTCCTTTTGTCTTTGAAAATTCTTTGAGCAATTCCTCTTGGGAGGTTTAATTTACAGCTGCCTTTTGTCATTTCGTTTGATATAAAAACAAAATAAATGAAAAAAGAAAGAAAGAAAAACACTGAAAATATTAAACTTTTTCAATTACTTACATTTTACTTCTCTCTGTAAAGGTGTGAATGACATAAGTCACTAAAAACAGTCTATAATACTTTTCACTGCATGAGTCATGAAACCTTCTCACCAACTCGAACCACGAAAAACTACACACCTGGCAAGGACCTCGATAATAGCGGAGCTCTCGCGCGCAAAGCGCGCTAGCCGAGCACCATGGGTAAGAAAATGAAGTAATCTACCCATCCGAGAAAATTTGGTAATCACGTGACCGTACAACGACCGCCCGAGCGACCGTCCGTCTACACCAAAGGCATACCAATGTAAAATAACTCAGTCAACAGGTATGGCAACCCAAATGCAACTCGAGGTTATTTTGGCGGGAAATCGCATAACTTCCGGCGTCTTGTAAAGCAGAGACAGAGTCAATAAAGACGAGAATGGAAAGCGGAAATTGTTTCTGTATCCGTGTTGTCTAAAGTATTCAGCTTGGATTCATTGTCCAGCATGTCTACAAATTTGGAATATAGAGCAGGAGAAAGACAGAGAAAAAGAGAAAGTCAGGCTGCAGGCCAGCGAAGGTCAACGAGAAAAAGGGCGAGAGAGATCTAGAGCGAGAGAGAAAAAACGAAGGAGACATTTTTTTTTGTTGGAAGAACAACATGAAAATTTTGTAGCGGCGGTGACAAAATAAGAAAAGCTAGCGGCCACCAATGCAAGATGAAAATGAGAGGCAATAAATTAAAAAAAGTGAACGAGAATATGTACGACATTTCCTCCATAAAACGTGCAACTATTAAAGAAGTTTCTGGAAGTTTTACGTTGTCTCGTGCAAAAAAACGGCAAAGAAATGTACAAAATAAGTGAGCTGCACGTGCAAAGTTGCTTTTTTTTGCTAATTAGACCTATTATTGTTTTTTACCGTTTTTCAGCGTTGCCTTCGCCGCTTAGCATTACACGATTTGATACTGGGTTTTAGCCGTGGCTAAATCTATATATTGTGAACATCAATCAGCTCGTTTAGATGAGCGCAGTTAAAAGATGACACTCTAGCAATCTATTTAAATGGTATTGAATATGGTTAAAAACCTCTGTTCTATCCTTTCTGTGTAAGTTACACGTTTCGAGTTATATTAGCAGTTGGTTAACCCATATGTTTCTTGTTTGTTGTGTGTGTGTGTGTGTGTGTGTATGTATGTATGTATGTGTGGGCTTACCCCCACCGAATTGTGGGGACCTCCGTTTGTTTACACACCAGCACTATGGGGACCTTCGACATTGTGGGGACCTTTTTGGGGTCCCCACAACTAAATTGTCTCCAAACGTTAAGATTTGTTGAGAAACGTCTTTTCCAAGTGAAAATCTGAAGGTCCCCAGAACTCACCTCAGAGTGCAAATTATTTCACGAAGGTCCCCACAATGTTAACAAAGAGTGTAAAGAAAAATTTATTAGTTTTCTATGTCAGTCATATAGATCAACTAAGCAGTGTCTGTAGTTGCGGGGTTAGTTTTTTAATTTTGAACACATGGCTTTGTTTTCTTTTACACTCAATTATCATAGTAGGCATACACAGACTTTGTGGGGACATTAATTAAACTTAAAGTTAAACACATTACAAGAGATTTATGAACATAAACAAAGTTTTCCAAAGTTTAATCTTCACAATACAAACAAGATTTACAGACCCGCGATAATAACTTTTTATTTAACGATAAGTAGAAAAGAAATTTCTGCTCTGACCATACATTTACTACAACTGGAACAAACCATACACAAGCATTGTGGGGACATGGAAAAAGCAAATAGAAAACTCAAACCCTACAAACGATAGTTTGAGTTATTAAAATTAACAAAAAAAATTGACTGAGTGAAATTCAATTTATTGGAAATTAACGGCAATTCAAGTTATCAGGAGTCCACTGGTATCATGCCTGGGCGAAACTATTCTGATAGTTGATAATAGTTCATGATAGTTCCATGCAAGAAAGTTTGTTTTTGTGGTAGAGTTGTCTAGGTTTTTACCATAATATCGAGGAAAATGTGCACATGAATAACAACAAAATAACGTTTTACAACCCATCCAACACGGAAAACAGCTGCTTATCTTGATTCGATGTAAACGCAAAAGCAAGAGCACAATACAGCAAACTATGCTCTTACGAGAAGAAATGCGCAAATTTTGGCTTCGACTTTCATGAACTTGTAAACACTACCATGAACCGTTCAGCCACAAGTAATGTTATTAAGTATTATTAGCTATCATGACCGTTTGCCTTTAAAACGTCTCGACTCCAAACGATGCTGCACGTTCCGATAAAATTGCAAATACCGGTAGAACAGGTTATCTATGTAGATGAACCATTTAGCGAAAAATGCCGAATCACTCTCTGAAAGCTTATCCTCAAAGGGATTTTTTTTTAAATTATTATATCACTAATTTTACTACCATAGTTGCAACGCTTGCAGAATCAACGCACTGAAAAGTTCTCTCGACGTGAAGCAAAGAAGAAAGATTGAAACTGCCAATCACAATCCACTTTATTGTGAATACATAGTTCATTTTGAATAACGAGCGCTTACCATTTGAATGGAAAACCCGGAAATTCCGGGGAGAATTTAAATGGAACGGTTCATCCCGGTGGAAATTTTCCGGAAAAAAAGTAATACTTTCCAGGTATTACCGTTTTCCCTTTTTTACCGAAACGACCGAAATTTTCTGTACCATTTGTTTGGATTACTAGTGCCAGGCTTCATGTCGAGAGAAAGCGAAAAATTTAGAGGTATTTTGTAAATGGTACAACTCAATCCTGTTCCTGTTTTCGGTGCCAAAAAAAATACCAGTACCATTTCACGGAAATTTTTCACCAAAATTTCCGTACAGATGGTAAGCGCTCAACATTTTGAAACACGAATGGCAAGGTAAAAGATAGAAGTTGAGAGAAAATCAATGCATAAAATACTGAAAGCGTCTGTAAGTGGATAATCAGGTAAAAATAACAATTTAACTCCAACAGATCTCTGTAGATGAAAGAGAAATTTAGAGTCAGGTAGGCAATTTCTCAAAATAGAAAACGAGCTGGTAAAAACTGTCTAAAACAATTCTTATGGATGAAACTAACGTGAACCTACTGTTTTTTGGTTGTTGAAGTATTGAACAGTATAAGAAGAGTAAAGGGAAAACTCGGTCATGTGGTACAAATTCACGTTTGCCTTGGGTGGCTCTACATCTCTCTAATAATGGGCCATTTGCACGATGACGTAATTTTACTACTACAACTAGATTTCTTCAGGGTTTTGCTTTCTTGTGCAAATTGGGGCTTTTGTTCTTTAATCCTCACTGGGACTACCAAATTTAAATATGAAAAGAGAAGCGAAAAGGATTCTGGTTGTAGTAGTAAAATGACGCCATTGTTCAAATGGCCTATTATTTCAAGAAGCTAATCATTAGACATATTGAAGATCATCAGAAGAAAAAAAAAGGTAGTTTCACATGTGAAGCGCGAAAAGCC